AGTTTTCATCCGATTGCCATCAAATTTTCAGGGATTGAGAAATAACTATTAAACTTCATTTTACCATTTTACTCGTATTTTATTTACAGTCCATACGCAAATGCCCGCACCTTGGCCTTAACCCCGGCCATAAGATTCTGCACAACCTGTGAATCAACCGTTTTTTGCATGTAAACCCATACTTTCTTCAGTTCCTCGACTGTCTTCACTACCTTAGGTCGTTTAAGAAGGTGCTGCTTCATAATCGCCCAGTACTTCTCGATGGGGCGGAGCTCCGGAGTGTTGGGAGGGTTGAACATTTTCGGCACGAAATTGACCTTATTGTCCGCATACCACTTCAGCACGTCCTTGGAGTAGTGGCATGAGGCCAAATCCGGCCAGGAGATTGTTGGGACGTTGTGGGCCTTCAGGAGAGGAAGCAGCCGCTTCTGGAGGCACTCTTTTATGTACACCTGTCCGTTCATCGTGTCCTGGGTCACGAAAGGTGCACTCCGCTTCCCGCACGTGCAGATGGCTTGCCAAACCAGGAATTTCTTCGCAAATTTGGACATCTTCTGAGTGCGGACATGCTCCGGAACGCTGAACTTATCCTTGGCCGTGAAAAACAGGTTGCCGGGGATCTGTTTGAAGTCGGCCTTCACATATGTTTCGTCGTCCATGATGCAGCATTCAACTTTCGTCAGCGTACAACTTCCTGGCATGGGTTTTGGCGGACTTGTTCTGCTTCTCGTCGCGATTAGGGGCCTTTTGTACCTTGAACGTTCGAAGCCCAGCCTTAGTTTTGGCCTTCTGGACAAAACTTCGGCTTAGGTGCAGCTTCTTAGCCACATCCCTAACGGAGGCGTTCGGATTTCGGTTGAAGGCCCCAACTACGCGGTTGTGATTTTTGGTGTTGTACGGAATACTTTTTCCTTCACTTCTGGGCTTCCGATCGGTGGTCAACCGTTCCTCGAACCGCTTAATCACTCGCTACACCGTGGAATTCGCGATTCCCAACGTTTTAGCGATGGAACGATGCGAGAGATCCTTGTTCTCGTGATGAATGCGCAAGATTTTATCACGCACGAGCTGTTCTTTCGACTCCATTTCCGCGAGTTTTGATCACAGGACTTTAAAACTTGCAGGATGTAAATAATGCACTATGAACTAAATCCACCCAAATTTTCATTAAATTCTACCCAACGGTTAAAAAGTTAGAGCAATTTCATAGTGTGGCAATTTCATCGTGGACACCCTTTAAGTTAAGGTGTGCTGATACTGACATATACGAGCGTCAATTTTGACAGAAAATTGAGTCATAATAGACGCGAAATTCTGATCAATCATACGTACTTTTAAACTTTTCAGTCTCGGAGCACTTAATTTTCATTGATATGTTTGTTTACGTCTCATCCTTCATGTCAAAGATGAATTCTGTCACGTGTAAAATTATGAATTTCTAAGTGTGTGTGATTGCTTTCCATTTTCTGTTAACACTAAAAAAATAATGAAAATTACATGTGACGTAAACTGTTATCAACGATACAAAATGGAGCATGTAATGAAATTGTACATGTAATTTTACAGCTTCTGGTAACTGCTTGCGAACATGTAAATTAACAAGCATTCCATGTAAGTTTACGTGCAAGTCATATAAACTTTCATGATCATGTGCACACTTAGAAAAAATAATGTAAATTTAGGTGCTCTTAGACTGACATATACGAGCGTGAATTTTGACATAAAATTGAGTCATAATAGAAGCGAAATTCAGCTCAATCAAACGTACTCCCAAACTTTTCAGTCTCGGAGCACTTAATTTTACATGACATGTTTGTTTACGTCTCATTCTTTATGTCAAAAATGGATTCCGTCACGTGTAAGATTAGGTATTTCTAAGTGTGTGCATCATGTAAACTTCCATGTTAAATAATGAAGAATTACACTTTATTCCTGTTAATTTACCTGCTTTTACATTGGCAAAAAGTTTACAAGCACACTACGAAAAAGTCATGTTAATTACGGTACCCTGAGACCGACACACTAAGCGGCTCTTTTGACAGAAGAATCAGTTGAAAAAAATGTGAAAATAAATTCAATCAAACGGACTTCTTCATCGAGTTCCTTATGTTTCGGTTTGACAACACTTAATTCACATGGGATGTTTGCTTACGTTTTATGATTTACATCCAATATGAATTAAGTATCGTGTAAAAGTAGTTATTTCCAAGTGTGAATCTGTGATTTTCATAACAGTAAAAATTTCAACTGAAATAAATTTAATTTTCAACGATTTACGATAAAATTTGATATGAATTTGAACATTTCAGTTTTAAATAATGTACTCGTTAAACGTGTGATTTATTATCGAAAAATATGCTCCAGCTTGTTGTTTAAAATTACAAAATATTATTATCTGTACATGCAAATAGCGATGGAGTCGAAAGCGCAGATGTATGTTGACCAATTCATGCCTGTGCGATAGGTCACACCATTAGTGCAACATTCAACGAGACTCTTAATGAGGAAACCCTTTTTCGGTAGAGTGACTATGAATGTTCCCATTGTCTTCGCAAATGGCTCCTCAACAGCTGATTCTTCTACGGAGTGTGTGCTGGTAGTTCGGCAGGTTTCGATTTACAAAAATCTGGTTAGCTGATCATGTAACGACCAGACACCATCCATCCCATCTGCAATGTAGGTCCTTTATCCGTTGCCTTCAGCAGTCCAAAAGATCAAAATAGTGTTCTGCCATGATTATCACGTCTACCTGTCTGGATTGGTAGAAGTCTGGATCTGCCAAGAACGCTGACTGGAGAAGGTTCCATTTATTTGGACGGATTGAAGCTGACAGTAGACAACGAGACATTAAGCTTGAAATTAATTTAAGAAGAGTGGAATTTCTCGCGATCTTGGAGCTTAATACTCATGCGCTGATCCATATGAGAAAATGTTCGTGGTTGTTTAATTTTTTTTAACAAAACTAAACTATGGGAAATTTGTATTGCAAATTTGGAACCAAATTAGGGGAAATGACGGCTTCGGCATGACAGACTATTTTCGGCAACCCAAATTGAAACACTATTTTCACTGGATTTTCTTACGAAAACACTTCGCTGAATGCATGCAAACGATTCTTTATGCTTTCAGCTTCAATTTGACTATATTTTTATCACTGAGAAAAAGCAATCTAGCAGGGTTTTCTTGAAATGAAACACACGCTCTACAAATTGTAGCTGATTTCGAGTTGCCGATAATAGAACAGCAGATTTACATGCAGTTCAAATGGAACGGTTGCCGAAGAAAAACTGGTTGCCGACAATACTCGCTCTCACTAGAGAAGATTGGAGCTTTGTAAAAGCGTTTCAAAACAGTTTTTGACAATTCTTTCGACTGAAATTGTTAGAGCAGCTGGCAGCAAAAGATTGTAAACAAACCAATACTGCATATGTGTGCGTTCCATAGAGAAAAAGGCTATAGAAAGAAGGTCGCTGCTTAGGTTGCCGAGAATACGTAAATTCCCCTATATACCTAATTCACATAAAATATTGTTTGTTTCCATAGATCAGCGATGCCCAAATGCAATGTATCATGTCCTACAGAATTCTGAAGCATTTTATGGAGACGCATGATCAATATCTAGAGTAAATAACTTCAAAAACATCACTAGCCTCAAGGTGTCAAAACACTGAGAGCAAGCAACAATAGGTCTGTATAATTTCACAGGTCACACTAACTCGAACTTGCCCGTACTTGCTCGGGTTTTTCTGTCAAAAATAACTATCAAACCTACCTCGACTTGTTCGACTTGTTTGTCTCAATGAACACCCATTTAATCTGATTTTCAATTTTCTTTATTTTTGAGGTGAAATGACTATAACAATACCAAAGAGATGTAGATTCGTGTCTTCTTGTTCTTCTCTAAAATTCACGTGGCCTTATATCAAAATCTCTACCATGTTCAACCTGATAAAACTAACTCGCACTAAATAGTGTGAGCTGTTTCAACCACATCGCATTCGGTTGTGTTATGGTTGAATGAACACCAAAACGACCAATACGAACTAGGTTGAACGCCAAAAAGGAGATCTCAAGTTGTTGCGAGTTGTTTCAACCTCTTATTATAAAAAAGCTAAATATAGGCAAACCGATTGTGACGATTTTCATGACAAGCTCTCTCTGCAACATAGATAAATCGAAACGGGGAGAGGAAAAAGATAAAACTGTTTTCAATTGTTACTTGTAAATCAATTTGTTATGTCATTCCACCGTTCCGAGCAAGCTATGTCATCAATCGCGTTTGTTGCAGACAAGCTTTCAAACAATTGTATCTTAGTTGTTGTATGTCATTTTGTCATGATAAAGACTTTTTTGATTCTCTGACTATTTTTGATTCCTCCAAGTTACATAGTTTATAACTGGTCCAAATTTCGAAAGATTTTGTAAATCCTACAATTCAACTGCCCTCCAATATTTACAGTACCTTAAGAATAATGACAAACCTTTAGCAGTATTTAGAACTATTCATTGGAAAAACTAAAAGTTCTAAAACTTAACAGAAAGTTCAAAGCATGACAACTTGATCGTCTCCAATGTTATCACTAGTTTCCTCAGCTTTCTGGCCGTGTTAGTGAATGGTTTCCCGCTAATGGCGCCCACTGTAGTAGGCAATCTTCTACAGCTAGGCAATCCAAACAAAGTGCCAAAGCTCGTTGATTCTCGCATATGACTATCCACAGTAGGTACCAGCCGTGTCGTAGTGGTCTTAGTCAACGTCGTCGCCGTTGTCGTCATCGTGATCACGTATATGTGCTCGCGCACGCCTCTGTATAGAACCGTCCATCCATCTCTCTGCGCGGAACGTACCTTCAGCATACAGCCTCTCATGTAGAAGGATAGGACCTGCCCGTCGTCGTCCGTCTCTGTCTCGCGAGCACCCGCACCGATCGAGCTTTGAATGTATTGCCCGGCCTGTGTATGCAAAGCTCGCCACTTCGCTATAAAATCCCAACACCCTGATGAGTTCACTTTTGTTTTCATTCGAGTGTCTGTCTATCTAGATAAGGAAAAGAGCGCCTCCGGAGCTCCGAGGAAAAGTTGAATTATTTGTGGTTCAGCTCTTAGTGCTACCGTATCAATAGAAGTGAAAACAAGGTAAGGAATTCGGACCACCATCCTCGTGGGTGGGTGTGGGAAGGACGCGAAAGGATTTGTGATGGCAAAAAAAAAGTTAAACGAAACTCGTGAACCGCGACCATTCAAGCTTTCAAGTGATCATAAAAGTGATAACAATGGACTGTTTCATTCGGGCCTGAAAAAGGACTCGAAACGAAAGTGATTTTTTTCTGTTGGGTCTTAAGTGATACCGGTTGATTATTTTTTTTCCATTCACACATGGGAATGCACGCGCTCGCACACGCTACGACCATCGCATGTTTAAATGCATATACATATATATATTTGCGAAGACTACAACCAGCACCACCGGTCAGGAGAAGTGTCCAATTTGCCCCAAAGCGACAATTATTATGCAACACAACGAGAGCCATGGATTATTCAACAAATCACCCAATCGATCCACATACTTACCTAGATTGTTGGGAAAGGAGCACAAGTTTGGTTCGCAAACAAAAAAAAAAACTAATATATGTTTTATGTTGCTCTCATTTCAAAGCGTGACACATGTGAAATGTGAACAGCGATTTGTTGTGAAGTGAAGCATGGGAAAATAACCTCTCGGTCATCAAGGGAGTCTGATTAGGTCATAATTTTTTATTACTACGTTGAAGGCAGTCAGTAACTGAGCTCTAGGATGAAAGGGAGGGGTTCTAAGAAGAGGTAATTGAGTGTTACAACAAACGACAGCGAAGAAATGACGCGACCTGTTCTAGGAAAATGTAATGATCTTGTTGTGTGGAATGGAAATTTCTCTGCCAGTGAATGAGTGAACTATGAATATATGAACTTGAATGAACTGGCAAAACGGTTGTGACGACCAAGCAAACATCCGTGATGCTACTGACTGATGCGTGGTAGTTATAATGTAAATTCATTGAATATTGAATTTTAATTAATGAAGTTATTTAAAATTTGTGTTTACATTTATTCGCTTAGTATAACTTCGATGTGGCAGTTGATCTTTAAAGATACGTCTTTGGAAGTGAATGTTTAAGGTTATTGATCACAAAATACTTATGATCACCGTTATGTAATCCAGTCATATTAAAAGATGATCCGACAATTTTTCAATTTTATTATTAAATCTGTTTTATTTTTAAACAGACAAAGTTTAATCTATGGGTCTTTAAAAGAGTTTAAAAACAACACCTTTGTTTAATGGACAATTATTTCACATTAGAAAAATTGTGTCACATTGGAAAGTAGAATTTAGTATTTGAATTAAAATATAATTATGATGAATTTTGGTGTCTGTAGTGAAATATGTAATGTTAAGAACAATTTTATTTAATATTTAATATTGGTCCGTTGGAAGTAAATTGATAATCGTTTTTCAAATACAAAGATGACCTTAACTGAATAAAAAAGAATCAACATAATAAGTTAGTTTGCATGATGCTAAACAAGGGTTTAAATATATTATTCCTATTTTTTTTTATTTAAGAAAAATCGATGTATTCTTGGCAAGTACACCCTGCTCAGAATCTCATAAGGTATTTTAAAATTGATTATCACACTAAAAAATCTAGTATTTTTGACGGAAGGCAATGCCGAACTTAGAAAACAGACATAGAGGAAATGGCTCTAATGTTGGCCTATGGATCTAAGATTGGGCCCATCGCTAAAAATCTGCTATTTATCAATTTTATCGAGATGAACACGTCATTGGGACGGTAATAATGGATATTTTTGGTTGCTATTGAAAATTTAGTCGATTGCTGAATTTATGTATGGGCCCAAATTAGGGCATTTAGGCCAACATTACATCCATTTCTCTTATATTTCCAAAATATCTCCAAAACGGGATTTTGTGCACGTTAAAAGATGCCCAATATAAGCATTTCTGCGGCTGAAAATCTCCTTAATAAAGGAAATCAATCAATGTAAGCATTTTGGATATTAATAACATCTAGATTAATATTCAATCTTTAACATTTACGTACTGATATAACATATTCAAAGATCCTAGAGACTTTGAATTTGCTCAACCCTAGCACTTCTTTTATAATGTTTTTCGTTTGCTTACGTTTCTGCATCCAAAACAATTGAAAACATTCGAACGTTCACGTTCTTTGCAATTATAATTTAGAATTTAGAAGAAATTTAACAAATTGACGATTGATTTATATTTTTCTTACAAAGCCTAAAAACCAAGGGTCGGCTGTCCAATCTCCTACATTCATGCAATATCTCCCAAACTGGAGCCATATGAAAAGTTTCATCCATATCAGAGAGGAACGAGCTAAATCGGTTGCTAAATTGGCATAGAATTACTCAAAATTAAATATCATCGAAAATGTTGGAACCTTCTCGTAAAAATGGATGTTCTTTTCATTCAATACCATCTCACTGCACTGACGCATAATGGAACCAATTAATCTCAGAAATACATATTTATCGTTCAGTCCACCAAAGCAAGTGCTTCCTTTTAGTTTGAGGAACAACATAAAAATATAATATTAGTTCCTAAGGTAAAGTTGTCGATTTACTGGTAATCATAAATTGACTTGCCCTTGTTTCCAATAGGCACGCTAAAATGCATACAACCACGCGAGCATGGCGACAACGCTCTGATGAGGCAACGATACCCTACTCCTAAGCTCCTCCCCTTTTCCTATTCTTCGACAATGTACCCCTCTAACCTCGAGTAAAGGGCGAACACGAAATTATTGCGAAACCGAAAATGTCATGCCAATTTTCTTATAATGTTTAGAATCAAACCAAAATTTTAGGGTAGTTTTATACCTATATTTACTTCAAAAATCAAAAGAAAAGTTAATCGATGGAGCCTTGAGTGTAAAATTGAACGCATTTTCGCTTGATGCCCTCCATCAAAGTCTTTACAGTGTCATCTGGTACCAGTTTCTCAGTTTTTTTTTCCATTTTCTTAACATGTCCTTCTCGTCTTTGACTGTCTTCTTGCTCTTCCGAAGTTCCCGCTTCATTATTGCCCAGTACTGCTCCACCGGGCGCAGCTCCGGACAGTTTGGCGGATTCATGTCCTTTGGAACAAAATGGACAGAATTGGCCTCATACCACTCCAGGACACTTTTAGAATAGTGACATGATGCCAAATCTGGCCAAAATAGCGGAGCTTCGTCGTACTGCTGCAAGAACGGCAAAAGACGCTTCTCGAGGCACTCAGATTTGTAGATCTCGCCATTTACTGTGCCCTTTGTCACGAAAGGCTCACTCCTCAGTCCGCAAGAGCAGATGGCCTGCCAAATGAGATATTTGGAGGCGAACTTCGACATTTTCTTCTTCTTAAATTTGTCGTCCACATCGAACTTGCTCTTGCCGGTGAAAAACTCTAACCCCGGAATTTGCTTAAAATCGGCTTTTATATACGTTTCGTCGTCCATCACACAGCAGCCATATTTTGTCAGCATCTTCTCGTAGCGCTTCCGTGCCCGAGTTTTAGCCGTCGATTGTTGCCACTCAGCGCGGTTTGGGAAGTTCTGTACCTTGTATGTATGTAGTCCAGCTCTCTTCTTTGCATTCTGGACGTAGCTCTGCGACATGCCGATCTTTTTAGCCAAATCACGGCTTGAGACGTTGGGATTTGCTTTAATCATCCGCTTCACCTTTCCCTCCGTCTTTTTGTTCTCCGGTCCCGGTTTTCTTCCAGCTCCTTTGCCGTGGTCCAACGTCAACCGCTCCTGGAACCGCTTCAACACTCTGGAGACGGTTGAATGGTGAATGTTTAACATTTTTCCCAACTGCCGCGACAGGTCAGGAAATTCCAGGTGTTTGGAAAGAATTTGTTCTCTCAACTCGCGTTGGTTCACATCCATTTTCGTTGAATCGAAAAACACGACTTCGATTGAGAATACATCAATGAGAAAGTGTGCAAAATTTGGTTGATTTTTACCCAATGGTAAAAAAGTTATGCCCTGTTGAATGTGTCGCAATAATTTCGTGTTCGCCCTTTAAGCCGCGAGTATCCGGCCCAACTTCTACTAGACATAGAATTAAGTGAATTTTGTTACAAACAAAGAACAATGAATTATCGGCTCCGTAAAGCTAACGCGATTAAGCCTTACAAATAAACGAACTAGATAAAAAAACCACGCGAGCACTGAAACAAGCAAGCCATCCACGGTTGCTAAATGATTACCGAACGAATGTAGATTCTTTCAAACAAGCTACGCTGCACGCAGATTTGGCGCTAATGGCAATATGTATATAACGAAACAGACGATAAACATAGAGAATGTGAAGAACGTTCTTTGCCGAGTGCAAAGTAGAATAAATACGTAAAAAGTGAACAGCTAGTGAGCCGTTTTTGGCTCAGTGATAGAATCAGTTGGATGAATTTGCCAGATTTAGTCAGATACATTCATGATTATCTTCTAAACAAAGCATATTTCATCAATAATACAATGCCAATTTACCATTCAAAGTTGTATGTAAAGCTAGTTAAAACAAATGGTTCTCTCTACCAATCGCTCACTCACTTATTACAATCGAAAGAAGCATCTCTTAAGGTGATTCTATGACGATTCCAACAATGGCAGCCATGATGTCTGATATGATGATGATGATGGTCCCACCTCTTACCCCTACAAAGGTTTGAGCTGGACGATTTATCTTTAAGATAATTGAATATGACATTTTAACCAGGTTGGCAAACAAAATCGAACTGGTTTCAGTTACAGATATAGATTCCTTCTAAAGTTTACAGTTGCTTCACAGCGATATAAATGTGGAAAAGCTCAGGCGTCCACCTCTTAGTTCGCCTTTTTGTCCACCTAAAATATTCATAAGTATTACAAGCAATCAAGAGTTAATGAACAATCAACAAAGCATCCTATTACACTAGTAACCCCGCAATCTGATGCTATCATAATTTTCAGCAATGTCAGGAATGCTCACGAACCCCTAACATTTGCCAGAAAACTTACTACTAACTCAAGGTATCTTTCAAATAAGCTTCAAAATTGCATTTTTTTTTATCAAATGTTAAATTCAGTCCT